TCCCTGGTTGCTCTGTGGGCACAAAGTGCCCCAAAAGCCTCATTCCCTGCAGGAACAGCCACCCTGATGGGTGCACCAGCCCACGTGTCAGACCCAGACCAAGGGACTCGCTGGCAAGACACAGTCCCTCCATCACTTAATTGCTTTAAGTTAAAACACAAGCAGGAAACAGTCGGATTAAGAAGAGACCGACTCACCCACCCTGGCGAGCAGAGCAGCCGCTGCACGAGCCGAGCGCGGGAGAGCTGCAGCATCAGGACACCCGCGAGCTCAGCCACATACCAGCTCCCCACTCTGCAGCGTGGGATCCCAATCAGCTCTCTGCCAATTAGCCTAACGAGCCCGGCCTGCTGCTCGTGAGGCTCCGGAGCTATGTTGGTGCCTTGTGGGGTGATGCTGCCCGCTTGCCCCCCTGGCAGAGACGGCCCCGGCCTTGGAGAAGCCGTAGCCAAGACAGGACTCGGCAGACATAAAACACGCGGCTCCTCCGAGCCACGAGCAGCTCCCACCCCCGGATCCTGCATCCAAACACGCCGCAGGAGCTGGGGACACAAACGCACCCGTCACACACGAGCCACGCTGTGGTTTGTGAGGTCTGTTTGTATTTAATTATCAAATTGCAAAGTATTTACACCAACATTAAGAGTTTCAAAGCATCTCCACCCCCACCACCCACGACATTGGACATTTTCAGGTTTTTCCCAAAGTCTTTTTATTATCAAAAAAAAAAAAAAAAAAAAAAGCTAAATATTTTACTTGGACACTCTCGGAAAGGCAGCTGAGGGGAGCTGGGGAGAGAGAAACAGATCCACGTGTTCTCTGCATAGTCATTTGGAGATTTTTTTACAAAACACTGTTTAAAAAGCTGCCGCCAGCAGAAGCGAATACTGCGCGCGGCCTCGTTCGTGCCCCGCAGCAGTGCCGGGGGCACTAGTAGGTAGCAGAGGTTCCCCTCTTGGCCTTAGAGGCTCAAAAACCCCAAATTGGCGAACAACAAGGGTGACGGAGGAGGGTCCCCTGCCCCGTGCGGCCTCCGGGTGATGGAGCTGTACGGGGTGGTGCCGAGACGCGGGGTGTCCCCAAAACCCCGCGCCCGGGTGAGGGCAGCGGCGCGTGCGGGGCCGCGGGCGCATCCAGCCCTGACCGCCCGCATCTCCTCCCGTTGTCTCTGCTGCTCTGAGCCGCCCCTGTTTCCTTCTGTCACAGCTTGCCAAAAACCAGGAGAAAACTGAAAAACCCTGGCAGCTCCGCATGGTCCCGGGGAGTTATTGCTCTGCCACTTACCCTAACAGGCCCAATGGAGCCAGAAACTGAAGCGTTTTCACATAATTCCAGCCCTGTTTGGCTCTTAAAAGAGTCTGCATGTGCTAAAGGAAGTGAAAGGTTTTCTATTACCATGTGCTTTTGCCCTCGCTCTCTCCCAGCTCGCAGAGCAGATCTGGCTTCCGCATGTTTCCACTTACAATTTTAAGGGATTTCTCCTGGGACAGGGACTGTGTGTCTTATGCAGAGCTATGGCACAGGATGCCCCTCGCAGCTTCCTCCTTTTTGTCGCAGGATGGGATTTTTCTGCACAGTGGAATCAGCCAAAACAAGGTCCAAGAGGTGCCAAAACAAAAACCTTCATCACTACAAGGTTTGAGGATGCGAAATCCAGGCACGGCAAATGTGCTGGGGAGGAAGAAACTGACTTTGAGTCCCCAGACCGTTCAGAAATTCCTTACAACAGTCGCTGCTCTCCAAGGCGACAGGGCAGGGGTGCGCTGCACTGACCCCGAGGAGCCCCTTGAGCTGATTGCGAAGGTGCTGATTAAAAAGGATCCACAAACCACCCGACTGACAGAGGACTCGTTTAATAAATAAGACCTGGGGTTGCAGCGGTGGCCTCGGCTGCTCCTGCGGGCAGGAGGGACACGATGGGAGCCGCCGTCTGCTGCCCCTGGGGCCCTTGGGCCCTGGCTCACAAACCACAGGGGCGAGGGAGAAACGACGGAGCAAGGAGAGATGCGGCAAGCTCCGGGGCCCCGGCGCTGCACACGGTCCTGCTGCGCACGGAGGCCGGGCTGCTGCGATAGCAGGGAGATGTCTGGTCCTGAGGGGGGCCACAAATGCTGCCGGGCCTGAGAGCAACGCACGCACGTTGGACGAGGTCCAAGGAGTGTTTTTGGCACAGAGGAGATGGGGAATGTGGACAGGGATGCAGGAGCAGTGACTGGAACCAGAGCCCAGGCAGTGGTGAAGGACTTGGCTTAGGTGCAGACACGTCAGCGATGCCGTGAGGGGTGACGGGGACACATGCAACTAAATCAGCTTCTGGAGAGCGCTCAGGCCCCTCGAGGGCTATGTACAAACGCCCAGCGCAGCTCGGGAGCGCTCCTGCAGCTGGCACAGGGCCGCGCCACCGCACCGGCAGCCCCCGCCCGC